TCATGTACAGTGTTATATTACTTACCGTTTAATAAATAGTGTTGCCTCCAAGCTGCGTGTGTGTGCACCAAATTCGAACCCACTACACATGCGACAATGTGCGAACATTTGCTTTGTGCCACTGTGCGTGATATTTGCGTGACATTATCACACAAAAATACATGCTAAGTAAATTAATTCACACCTTCCGACGGATGCAGCACTCTCATGACATTACTTGTCGACGCAGAGATGATAATCTTATCAGCGTAAAATCGCGTACAGCCACAACATCATCCCCATGTTCTGGAAAACAGACCTTGGGTAAACCGTCTATAGCCAAAATACACATTTGATGAAGCTGCGTTAGGCAAGTATTTCCTGTACAATAGTGTTATCTACATTCTCACCTGCTAACACAAGAAGACTGCACCATTTGTGGAAGCCGACGTCCGCCCCCTCCACTCCCTCTTGCCCCTCGTCGGTCGCCTCTCGCCTGGCCCCCGCCGATCGGGTGATTCCCCCCCCCCCCCCGCGCCAGCGCCCTCTCTGAGGGATATGGCTCACTGGCTGGCTCACCACCGCCCGGGGTTATCCCGCGCCTGCAGGGGCGCGCGCATTCAATGTCGTGAATAACTTGTTGCGGTTGGCCCAGTGAACCTTTTCCTTCTGTGTCCATACAATTTTAAGCCAATTTAGGGGCACCACAATGTAACCTGCCCTGTGGCACCGGGAAACCGTGGGACTCTTCCTCTTGGGGCTCTTTGGATTAAAACCCGATGTGCTAGGCAATCCCCCGTCAGGACACTACGTGGGTGCAAGCGCTGCATGTGTGCGTGTGCTCAGGGTGGGGGGTAGTGGACAATCGCGGCGCTTGCAGAGCTGCTCTGCGGTCATGGCACCACACATTTATCCTTGTACATATTATTGCTGTTATGTTAAAATTTTTATGATTTAAAAGATTAACTTTGTTCAATAAAAAAAAAACTTGCCATTGTGTGCGCCTTGCCCCAGGAGGTCAAACAGAATGTATGTTCAACTTCTTTCGCACCGTACGTAACCAACCGCGCTAATCGCAGGAGCTGGAAAGACAAAAAACTAAACGCAAAAAAGTTGTCCTAAATAAATTAGTTTCCAATATAGATTAAAAAGTGCTTAGCACCAGTGGCTTCCTATATATGAAGGATGAGCGTTCCAGACGGTCGCAAAAGCACATCCGAAAGCATGCGATGCATTGACCATCTTTGTTCGATGGTTAGCCAAAAGCCACTGCGAGGATGACTGGAGTTTGCGTGATGGTTTATGCTATTTGAGATCAGCAAGGTATTGTGGTTCATTTGTGTCAAGCACTTTGTGAAATGAGTGCAACCTTATAATATATTCGTTCAGCAACCAGAAGCTAATGCAGCTCGGCGAGCACTGGACGGGCATCGTCAGATCTTGCAGTACCCATCACGACACGTGCCAAATAATTTTATAGATGCTGCAGCTTGGGAATGTTTTTGCCAGACATCCCATAGAGTAGTGAGTTGCAATAATTCAGCCTTGTTGATACTATGCTACATGTCATCGTGTTTGCTATGTCACGACTCAATAGAGGTCAAATGTGTCGGAGAGCCCTAATATGAAGATTTCACGACCTTACTATATTTTGCACGATGCTAAAACGACGTATTTTGGTCCAGTATGGTGCGGAGGCTCTTTAGATGGGTAGAAAACTGAATCCTGGAGTCTGCGACTGCCACACCTGAAACCTCCCACAAATGTTTTCGCCTGAGTGCTAAGCAGCAGAACCTCAGATTTTTCTGGATTAAGCAGCATTTCGTTTTATGTGTAGTGGCATAAGAAGGGAGGGGCTGCTGGGGGCTCTGGGATCCCAGGCGAGTCCAGACGCTTAAGCCTCTGGGCGCCAGGCACTGGGTTCCCAGGGGGTCCAGACGCTTAAGCCTCTGGGCACCAGGCGTTGAGTTCCCAGGCGTTTAATCCCCTGGGCGCCGCCAACGGGGGGGGGGGGGGGGGGGGCTGTATGTGCTCTGTGGGATGTCTGGTGGTGCACACGGCCCCACCCCTCGTTGGATCAGGCATAAAAGGAGAGCTCCCTGGACGATCGGGGCCCAGTTGTAACTCAAGACCCAAGACCCACGACCAGCCATCTGAAGACCCTGGGACGCTGTGAGAGCCAGCGCTGGGACTCTGGAACTCCCGACGCTACGACCTTGTGAGGGCGAGTCCAGAGCGTAGCCAGAGTAGAGTATCTAGAGTATCTAGGCTGTGTAGCTAGGCTGGGTACCTAGGCTGTAACAGAGTATCAGGACTGTTGGAGTGTTGTATTGTAATAAAGAAGTTACCTCTACAAGTGTCTCTGGAACCCGTTACATATGAAAACCACACGTGCACTGCTCGAGAGCAATATTCGAGGTTACCGAGGCTCTACATATCTAAGTTTAACTTCGATGCGGTGTACAATTGTGTATTATCAGCATAATTATGGAACTTTATGTCATGCGGTGAGATGACATTGGCGATCGGAGACTATATTGAAAATTGGAAGGGCAAAAGGATGGACCACTTTGGTACGCCAACTAAACATGGCATAGGCGATGACTGTTCGTCACCCAGCTTGAGAAACTGTGATCAGCACGTAGGTATGACTCAATCCACCCCAGTGCCATACCCTATACACCGAACCTTGACCTTAGCCACCCGATGATAATCTCATGGTCGATGGTGTCGAAGACGGCTGTGATATCGAGGCCAACCAACGCTGTGGTGCACCAGTCATCCCGGATCTTGTTGAGGTCATCCGTGATCTTTATTAGAGCCATCTCAGTCCTGTGGAACTTCCGGTATGCTAACTGCGACGGGTTGAATCTGCCTATCGCAGCGACGTGGGGAAGTAACCACTGCAGACAAAGGCGCTCTATGAGATTTTAAATTGTATTCAGGTTTGAGATCGGACGATCATTTGCGGGGTCACTGTGGCTCAAGCCAGTAGTGCTACCTGCGCCATTTTGAACCAGTCTGGGAGAGAGTCCTTGCTGAACGATTTGCAAGGTGGACAATCAGCGACGAAATCACATCTGGGTATGATTTGGGAATCGACATGTGGATGCAGTCCAGCGGCGATGTCTTATGATGAACATCGACACCTCTCCCACCGACGTTGGTGCCAGGGTCCCGAGTTTTGCATTGGTTCCAGGTTGATCAAACTCAGGTGACAGACCGGGAGAATGCGTTGCCTTCAAGTTATAAATGGCCGTCTTGATATTCACTGTTTTATTGGCGACAAACGTGGACTATTTGATGGATGGTAGAAGTGCAGCAGACCCTTTACGATGCACTTGCAAAGCACAGGGGTCACGAGCCAACTCATTGACACGCAGAGCACAGAATGATTTGTGACACTCAATAATGAACCGGTTGGCAGATCTGCAGGTGGCCCTGTAAGCGAGTTGGACAATCTAAAAACCAGTTTTCTTTCAAAAATACTCCAGCCTCCTCCTCGTCTGCTTCACAGCGATCGCCTCTGGTGACAGCCAGTTACCGTCCGCTTAGCCCGTTTTCTCTGTGCTTGTTTGGATGGGCACGGGTTTTTCAAGAACAGCAGTGATGTAATTTTATCATTGATATGTAAATTAATCGACCGTCGATGCAGGATTTAGACATTCCGATGACGACCAGTATGTGCTGACGGAAAGCATTGTGGTCCAGTTGTTTCCAAAATGTGCGGGAAAATGTGCACCATCTCCATCCACATACCACAGTCCACAATGGCAATTCAGGTGAATAAAGTTAACCTCGCCGTGATCAACGTCATGTCTTTTTTTGTGATGTAGTTAGCCAGCCTGACGATCTCGGCAGAAGAGAGACCTATATTGTTTTATTATGGACTTACAAAAAGAGAGGCGGCTGATTTGATTCCTGACTCAGCAGTTGAAACAATGGGCAAATTTAATCAATTCCCCTGCCTGTTCACTCAGCAGTCTAATTGGGTATACCACATTCAGTCAGATCGCGTGTGGTGGGGTTATTTCCTCCAAGGTGTCTGGCCAGCGTTGAAGAGTATGGGAAAAATATCCTTCACAAGGGTTCTTCAGAGCTTACTTTCGTGGAGGCCCCTTCTGTCAGCAATGCCTTTAGCAAGCAACTGCAGGGCTGCACCTTTTACTTTTGTTTTCATAGCCGCCAACCTAGAGAGCTGGATAGACCCGTGTGGTGATGGACTCAGCAATGGATTTAGGGAATTTATTTTAAATATACGGAAATAAGTAAATGTTATATTACATTTTATTCCTGGAATGTTCCAAATTAAACCTAAAACATTATTTTTTATTTGACCAGATAAAGCCCACGAAGCTATATAGCTCTTTTCCAGCAGTGACCTGGTCATAAATGATAGTTAAACGAAGTAGTTTATCACGTGGAAATTCATAGCAAATCAAATACCTTAAATTCATGTTTATAAATGTGGAGGGAAAAACCAGAGTACCTGGAGAAATATTCCAACTATAAATGTACAGGCATCAGGGTCAGGATCGAACCCACGACCTCCTGTATACTAGACAAGGTAGTTAAAATCTCGGCACCGAGATGTTAACATTGTAAAATCATAAAATAATTTTACAGAATAAAGAATGATGTAAATGTATAACATTCCTTCCGTTTTTCATTTCAAGTATTTTTGCGTGCTTTTAATCTGCATTCTAGCCTTCATTTTGAATAGTTCCAAAATGTTTAATTCCATTCCATTTACAGAAAATGCCAGCTTGGATAGTTTTGCTTATTAGTCGAATTTGAGCCATGAACGTAACCTTAATTTAAAGCAGAGCGAATTTACTTACTATAATCATAATTTGCCTAAACATTACCTAACCTGTTGACATTGGATTTATAGATTGATCAATCATGAATACATTTGTATGAAAACAAATATTTGATAAATGCTTTAGAATTTCACAATTTTGTAACAGTAACATTTACTTAAAAACACACACACACCCACCATAAACAGGTGTGCTGAATATTTTGTAAACATTTAGGATTTTATTTTCTCCCAAAATATTCCAGGAACATTCAAACTTTTCCGTATAATAAAACAAGAGTTAAAATGCCCTTCATTATATTTGCAATCATCAAAGTACAAAGCTAAAATGTATAGAAACCTAGATAATCTGATATATATTTTTCGAAGGTAGTGTTGTTACGCAAGTGTTGAGTTTTTTGTATATTGTGCTTGTGCACCACGCTAATGCAGTATCAGCAAATACTTGATTAATCTGAGGCATAATTCGAGAAATTTAACTCGTATTGGATGCAATATATCCCTATGGCTCCCACACATCGTAATAATAAAAAAGCGATAAAATATTTACGAAGTGTTTTAATTATACAAAATCCAATAGAATTTTTGCTGCAAGTATTAACACGCGTAAAATATTATGATGGTTACGTGTGGTCTTGTCATACATGTGTAGACAAGACAAAACAACGTAGTCAAAAAACAAAAAAGAGAAACACAACTTAAATAAAAGCCCTTCCCATTTAAGACCTACATTTCGTATGTAATAACAAGTGCATATGATTAAGCAGTGTGTGATTGCTGTTTGTGTACATGGCGGTGTGTGTGTGATGCTCTCAAAAGTATGGGAAAATAATGTGTTACAAAAAAGATTCCATATTGTGAAGAGTTTACTATTTAAGAAAACTAGTAGTAGTAGTTTTCTGGTGTAGAAACTATACGTTTACATTTTAAGACATGTTTAGGGAAGTTGCTTATATTTTATCTTCACATTCTGCTGTGGAAATAATTTCTTCATATATATTTGTATCTGTCATTTAGGAGGAGAAAAACAACCACATTCAATAATAATAACAGCAATGTACAACACAGTTAAAAGGTTTCCATTATTGCCCACCATTTATAATAAATAGGTGAAAAACATTTGTTTTATTGTCTACAAGATAAGTCAGCTTCTCACCTCATTCTCCATTTGATTGATGCTCAGAGATGGATCAAAATCCAACTTGACTTTAAAATTATACTTTGCTGTAATACACGAAGGACGAAACAGTGTTAATGTAAATGTCAATGTACACCAACATTTACTCACAGTGGCAGGTAACAAAACACAAAATAAGAATTATTTTCACAAAGACTGAGAGGATACACTGGCTTACCTGGTCTGCATAAAAATAAAGCTTCATCCGAGCCATCTACACAGTCCACTTCGCCATCACAAACAAGAGAAAGCGGAACGCATCCACTGCTTTTGCACTGAAAGTCCCCATAAACACAGGCTGCAAGGCACACATTACCACACTATTGGTGAGTTTTAATTGACACTTGGTCAATGTGATTATCAAAGGTTTGGTAGCTCAAAAATGAAAATGCTGAGCTAAGCCACTCACTGCAGTTGCCCTCATCTGAGTAATCCCCACAGTCGTTGACTCCATCACAGAAGCTCTCCTTCGCCAGGCAGGTCCCATTGCCACAAGACAGTTGCAGCTCTGGGAGACATTGGCAGCTGGGAGTCTCATCGCTCTGGTCTGCACAGTCGGCCTCTCCATTGCAGTAAAACCTCCCAGAGATGCATTGCTTCTTGTCAGCACAGCGGAAATCACTCACTGCACACTCTGAGTTGTCACACGATAGACGACTATTGGTGTTAGTTTTTTAATTAGAAAACCTTTCATACATTTACTTTGTTGGGAGAAATACGAGAGGTGTGTCTTTTGAGCACAATGGGGAAGCATCATTTACGTAAAAAATATAAATGAAAGCAAAATCGGGATGAAAGTTACCGATATCACAACCAATTTCATCCGATCCATCACTGCAGTCCGTTTCTCCATCACAAACAAACATCGAGTCCACGCACAGCCTGCTGCTTCTGCACATGAACTGGATTGGTGAACAAGCTGCACAGAAAATGAGAAGCAATGGTTAAACAATAGTTTATGTAACACGACTTATTTAATTGAAATACATTTTTTCAATTGGAAAGACATAACACTCACTGCAGTTGGCCTCATCTGAGTAGTCCCCACAGTCGTTGACTCCATCACAGAAGCTCTCCTTTGCCAGGCAGGTTCCATTATCACAAGAAAGTTGCAGCTCTGGGAGGCAATGGCAGCTGGGATTCTCATCGCTCTGGTCTGCACAGTCGGCCTCTCCATTGCAATGAAACCATCCAGGTATGCACTGCTTCTTGTTAGCACAGCGGAACTCATGCACTGCACACTCTGAATTGTCACAAATACAAGTTAATTGGTGATTATTTTTACTTTTAACGTCCATCTAAAAACTTTTCTGGTGGTACTCAGAGCTACATTTCTTTAGGATGAACATAAACACGTTTCATTTTAATATATTCATTCTAAGTAGAAAAACAATCGATGTTAAAGTTACCGATATCACAGCCAATTTCATCTGATCCATCAATGCAGTCCGTTTCTCCATCACAAACAAACATCGAGTCCACGCACAGCCCGCTGCTCCTGCATGTGAACTGAATTGATGAACAAGCTGCAAGGAAAATGAGAATCAATAATTAAACAATAGTTTATGTAACACGAATTATTTAAGCTTTGAACCAATTTCTCAACCACATCAATTCCATACACTCATCCATCAAATTCACCATGGAAGTGGAGAAGGATGGTAAGCTACCATTCCTGGATGTTTTATTTGAGAAGAGACCTGACGGCTCGTTGGGACACTGTCTCTAGGAAAGCCACCCACACAGATTCCTATCTGAAACCTGATTCCCACCACCATCTGGCACAGAAGAATTCCCTCATCAAAACACTACACCATAGGGCCCAATGCATTTCCGACCAACACCACCTAGCCAGTGAACTGGAACACGTACACCAGGCCCTCAAGATGAATGGGTACTCGGACCGCATTAATCGCAAAGCTGTTTCTCCAACCATGGCGAAACAACCCCCTGAGAAGCCGATCAAAACCATCATGTTACCATACATAGCAGGTGTTACCAATTTTTTTTCCAAAATCTTAAACAGAACACAAGATCCAGGTCCGATTCAATACAGTACACAAAATCCGTGATCTAATCCCATCTGTGAAGGATGTCATTCCTGACATGCAATATCCTGGAGTTTACAAACTGAGTTGTACCTGCGGTAGCAGTTACATTGAGGAAGAAAAACTACATGTCTCGGACTGTGTCCGCGAACACAAGGCAGATCTGAAACACGGCAGAACCAATAACTCTGCCATGGCTGATCAATGTTATAACGCTGTGGGCTTGCATGATATTGTTTTAACCGAGACCAAGGTACTCTGCAAACCTTCTGGCTACTATCAAATGTTTGTTCATGAAGCCATCCAGATATATAAACATAGACATAACTTCAACCGAGAAGATGGATACAAATTGAGCAATCATTGGAAGGATGTTATTAACCAGGTAAAATCGTAACTGCTTTATGGTTGTCTATCATATCTGCCGGGTACTAGTCTATTTTTCCGAGTTAATTTCTCCCCCCCCGCATCCCCAGCTTTCTCGGCCTCCCACTTCCAGCCCCGCCCACTTCCCCCCCCTGCCTCACGTCCTCTCTCCTAGCGCTCATGCAGCGCCCCCCTCCCCTTACCCCATACCCCCCCCTCTCTCCCCCCTGACCCTCCCCCTTCTTACCTATATCACCTCTTGCCACGGCAGCACTCTTTCTCACACTTCAGCAAAAAAAAAATATTGCCGTGGTTTTCCCACCTGATGATGATTGCTTGTGTTGCAATCGAAATTTCGTGATTTGTTTTATTTTAATTAATTTCTGACTACGTGACTTTACCGAAAGAACCAAAGAGTATGATATACATTGTTTTCAATTGGAAAGACATAAAACTCACTGCAGTTGGCCTCATCTGAGTAGTCCCCACAGTCGTTGACTCCATCACAGAAGCTCTCCTTTGCCAGGCAGGTCCCATTGCCACAAGGCAGCTGTTGGTCTGCGTGGCACTTGCAGTTCGGAGTCTCATCGCTCTTGTCCATGCAGTCCGGCTCCCCATTGCAGTAAAACCGCCCAGAGATGCATTGCTTCTTGTTAGCACAGCGGAACTCATTCACTGCACACTCTGGGTTGTCACATGATAGACAACTATTGGTGTTAGATTTTTACTTCGAAAACGTTTCATGTGTTAATTTTGTTGGGAGTAATATGAGATGTGTCTTTAAAGGACCATAATGAGGCATTATTTTAAAAAATTTACGACAGTTAGAAATAGTACAATCGTGATGAAAAGGTACCTATATCACAGTCAATTTCATCAGATCCATCACTGCAGTCCGTTTCTCCATCACAAACAAACATCGAGTCCACACACAGCCTGCTGCTCCTGCACGTGAACTGGATTGGTGAACAAGCTGCAAGACAAAAGCACGTGTAAATATTGATTGTAAGCAATGGTTCAATAGAGAAGTACACATTATTCATATACATTGTTTCGTATTTTGATAGACATTTCACTCACTGCAATTGGCCTCATCTGAGTAGTCCCCACAGTCGTTGACTCCATCACAGAAGCTCTCCTTTGCCAGGCAGGTTCCATTATCACAAGAAAGTTGCAGCTCTGGGAGGCAATGGCAGCTGGGATTCTCATCGCTCTGGTCTGCACAGTCGGCCTCTCCATTGCAATGAAACCATCCAGGTATGCACTGCTTCTTGTTAGCACAGCGGAACTCATGCACTGCACACTCTGAATTGTCACAAATACAAGTTAATTGGTGATTATTTTTACTTTTAACGTCCATCTAAAAACTTTTCTGGTGGTACTTAGAGCTACATTTCTTTAGGATGAACATAAACACGTTTCATTTTAATATATTCATTCTAAGTAGAAAAACAATCGATGTTAAAGTTACCGATATCACAGCCAATTTCATCCGATCCATCAATGCAGTCCGTTTCTCCATCACAAACAAACATCGAGTCCACGCACAGCCCGCTGCTCCTGCATGTGAACTGAATTGATGAACAAGCTGCAAGGAAAATGAGAATCAATAATTAAACAATAGTTTATGTAACACGAATTATTTAAGCTTTGAACCAATTTCTCAACCACATCAATTCCATACACTCATCCATCAAATTCACCATGGAAGTGGAGAAGGATGGTAAGCTACCATTCCTGGATGTTTTATTTGAGAAGAGACCTGACGGCTCGTTGGGACACTGTCTCTAGGAAAGCCACCCACACAGATTCCTATCTGAAACCTGATTCCCACCACCATCTGGCACAGAAGAATTCCCTCATCAAAACACTACACCATAGGGCCCAATGCATTTCCGACCAACACCACCTAGCCAGTGAACTGGAACACGTACACCAGGCCCTCAAGATGAATGGGTACTCGGACCGCATTAATCGCAAAGCTGTTTCTCCAACCATGGCGAAACAACCCCCTGAGAAGCCGATCAAAACCATCATGTTACCATACATAGCAGGTGTTACCAATTTTTTTTCCAAAATCTTAAACAGAACACAAGATCCAGGTCCGATTCAATACAGTACACAAAATCGTGATCTAATCCCATCTGTGAAGGATGTCATTCCTGACATGCAATATCCTGGAGTTTACAAACTGAGTTGTACCTGCGGTAGCAGTTACATTGAGGAAGAAAAACTACATGTCTCGGACCGTGTCCGCGAACACAAGGCAGATCTGAAACACGGCAGAACCAATAACTCTGCCATGGCTGATCAATGTTATAACGCTGTGGGCTTGCATGATATTGTTTTAACCGAGACCAAGGTACTCTGCAAACCTTCTGGCTACTATCAAATGTTTGTTCATGAAGCCATCCAGATATATAAACATAGACATAACTTCAACCGAGAAGATGGATACAAATTGAGCAATCATTGGAAGGATGTTATTAACCAGGTAAAATCGTAACTGCTTTATGGTTGTCTATCATATTTGCCGGGTACTAGTCTATTTTTCCGAGTTAATTTCTCCCCCCCCACATCCCCAGCTTTCTCGGCCTCCCACTTCCAGCCCCGCCCACTTCTCCACCCTGCCTCACGTCCTCTCTCCTAGCGCTCATGCAGCGCCCCCCTCCCCTTACCCCATACCCCCCCCCCCCTCTCTCCCCCCTGACCCTCCCCCTTCTTACCTATATCACCTCTTGCCACGGCAGCACTCTTTCTCACACTTCAGCAAAAAAAGAAATATTGCCGTGGTTTTCCCACCTGATGATGATTGCTTGTGTTGCAATCGAAATTTCGTGATTTGTTTTATTTGAATTAATTTCTGACTACGTGACTTTACCGAAAGAAGCAAAGAGTATGATATACATTGTTATCAATTGGAAAGACATTAAACTCACTGCAGTTGGCCTCATCTGAGTAGTCCCCACAGTCGTTGACTCCATCACAGAAGCTCTCCTTTGCCAGGCAGGTCCCATTGCCACAAGGCAGCTGTTGGTCTGTGTGGCACCAGCAGTTTGGAGTCTCATCGCTCTTGTCCATGCAGTCCGGCTCCCCATTGCAGTAAAACCGCCCAGAGATGCATTGCTTCTTGTTAGCACAGCGGAACTCATTCACTGCACACTCTGGGTTGTCACATGATAGACAACTATTGGTGTTAGTTTTTTACTTCGAAAACCTTTCATGTATTAATTTTGTTGGGAGTAATATGAGTTGTGTCTTTAAAGGACCATAATGAAGCATCATTTAACAAAATTACGGCAGTTAGAAAAAGCACATTCGTGATGAAAAGGTACCTATATCACAGCCAATTTCATCAGATCCATCACTGCAGTCCGTTTCTCCATCACAAACAAACATCGAGTCCACACACAGCCTGCTGCTCTTGCACGTGAATTGGCTTGGAGAACAAGCTGCAAGACAAAAGCACGTGTAAATATTGATTGTAAGCAATGGTTCAATAAAGAAGTACACATTATTCATATACATTGTTTCGTATTTTGATAGACATTTCACTCACTGCAATTGGCCTCATCTGAGTAATCCCCACAGTCATTGACTCCATCACAGAAGCTCTCCTTTGCCAGGCAGGTCCCATTTCCACAAGCCACTTGCAGCTCTGGGAGGCAATTGCAACTGGGAGTCTCATCGCTCTGGTCTGCACAGTCGGCCTCTCCATTGCAATAAAACCATCCAGGTATGCATTGCTTCTTGCTAGCACAGCGGAACTCATGCACTGCACACTCTGAATTGTCACAAATACAAGTTAATGGGTGTTTATTTTTACTTTTAATGTACATCTATATACGTTTCTGCTGGTACTCAGAGCTACATTTCTTTAGGATGAACATAAACACGTTTCATTTTAATATATTCATCTTAAGTAGAAAAACAATCGATGTTAATGTTACCGATATCACAGCCAATTTCATCCGATCCATCAATGCAGTCCGTTTCTCCATCACAAACAAACATCGAGTCCACGCACAGCCGGCTGCTCCTGCATGTGAACTGAATTGATGAACAAGCTGCAAGGAAAATGAGAAGCAATTATTAAACAATAGTTTATGTAGCACGACTCATTTAAGTGCTATACATTGTTATCAATTGGAAAGACATTAAACTCACTGCAGTTGGCCTCATCTGAGTAGTCCCCACAGTCGTTGACTCCATCACAGAAGCTCTCCTTTGCCAGGCAGGTCCCATTGCCACAAGGCAGCTGTTGGTCTGTGTGGCACTGGCAGTTTGGAGTCTCATCGCTCTTGTCCATGCAGTCCGGCTCCCCATTGCAGTAAAACCGCCCAGAGATGCATTGCTTCTTGTTAGCACAGCGGAACTCATTCACTGCACACTCTGGGTTGTCACATGATAGACAACTATTGGTGTAAGTTTTTTACTGCGAAAACCTTTCATGTATTAATTTTGTTGGGAGTAATATGAGTTGTGTCTTTAAAGGACCATAATGAGGCATTATTTAAAAAATTACGACAGTTAGAAATAGTACATTCGTGATGAAAAGGTACCTATATCACAGTCAATTTCATCAGATCCATCACTGCAGTCCGTTTCTCCATCACAAACAAACATCGAGTCCACACACAGCCTGCTGCTCTTGCACGTGAATTGGCTTGGAGAACAAGCTGCAAGACAAAAGCACGTGTAAATATTGATTGTAAGCAATGGTTCAATAAAGAAGTACACATTATTCATATACATTGTTTCGTATTTTGATAGACATTTCACTCACTGCAATTGGCCTCATCTGAGTAGTCCCCACAGTCATTGACTCCATCACAGAAGCTCTCCTTTGCCAGGCAGGTCCCATTTCCACAAGCCACTTGCAGCTCTGGGAGGCAATGGCAGCTGGGAGTCTCATCGCTCTGGTCTGTACAGTCGGGCTCTCCATTGCAATTAAACCATCCAGGTATGCATTGCTTCTTGCTAGCACAGCGGAACTCATTCACTGCACATTCTGGGTTGTCAGAAATAAAAAAAAGGTGTTTGTTTTAGACTTTGAATGCCTATTTATTTACTTTGCTGGTGGTATTAGGAGCTGTCTATTCATGATGAAGATAAATCACTGTGTGCGTGAGCTGTGTGAGTGAGTGTTAGTGATCTGTGTGTGTAAGTGTTAGTTAATAGTGCAAGTGGCACAGCTTGAGTGAGGCCTATTTAATAGTGCACCTGGCGCAGCCTGAGTGAGGCCTAGTTAATCGTGCACGTGGCGCAGCCTGAGTGAGGCCTAGTTAATCGCGCACGTCGCGCAGCCTGAGGCCTCGTTAATAGGCCGGCTGTAGCCTCCAGCGAAACATCGGCTACAGTCGTACACACACACATGGAACACGTGTAGGCAAAAACAGAGACAAATATCCACCGTATCGCCTTAACAGACTGCTGGTTGCAAGTGCTGTTAGCGAGCACCTATAAAGGCCGGCACAGCGCATGAGGGGGTGGGTGGCCAGCACCACGCCTGGTCGCCTTTGTCTTCCCAGAGGTGATGTTTACTACACGTCACCTGGTTAGCTGTGTTCCTGCCAAGGCAATATTGCCACGGACCCCAAGCTGTGTTCCTGCCAAGGCAACATTGCCACGGTCGTACATGTGTGACGAGTGCAGCAAGACGTTTTCTCACGCTTGGCCTTCAAGTATATATCTTAGTTTTTCGCTTCTGTGTTAAACTGTGTGTAACCCTGATATTTTAAAGATGGCAATTCTCCTGCTGTGTATCCTACTGCTGTCCCTCCCAGCCATATCTAGTGCCACACTCAACTCTACAAACGGCTCCCCACGTTACTTCGCGTCCATACTTATTTCTCAATTTGCCACTACACCTGCTAATGAAACAGCTTATAGACACTTCTACACTCCATCATTGTATACTTTTAAACCCTATCTTTGTCCCATAACTTCACCAGCACTCCTTCCAAACTTCATTCTGCTCTTAAAAATATCACCATCTGCGAGCTACTGCTATTTGTCCAAGGTTTGCCGCTTTTCATCCTTTTGTAGGGGTGTCAGGGGAAGGATTCCCACCAATAGGAGGGTTAGTGGGGAGGGGTGATCGAGTAGATATAAGGGGAGAACAGGCGGGAAGAAGGGGCCTTTGGCGGGAACGAGATTGGGACGGCTGGGGACAGGTGTGGATGGGAGACAAGGATTAAAAGACGAAACCCCTGCAATCTTGTGTCGGCTCTCCTTTACATCTGGTGGCAGCGGTGGGATCTACAAGGGCTATGAAGAAGAATCCCCGCGGAAAAGAGCCAAGAGAAGAGGAAGCAGGGGCTGGAGATCCTTCCCATCCCGGGCAACAAGGGGGCCTGCTACCAGAAGCAGCAGCAGGGGGCCTGGATCGCCTGGAGGACCCCATGGAGGACCGCATGGCCCGCGTGGAGAGGGCACTCCAGGAGCTACTGCAGAGGCTCCCTATGGGGGGCCCGCCAGCACCGGGACCCCCACCTCCCGCGTACTACGGGAGGAGAGGCCACGGGACCCGGAGGCCGACCAGCCGGCCGGGCAGGAGCCGCAACCAACCTCGTCACGCCAGCCGCCGCCGCTCCCGCCAAAACCCCCAGGGCTAAACACCCAACACGGAGAGCAGGTGGCAGGACGGCCGCGTCGGCTGGGGCCCGTCAACAAGTTCGTGGCCGAGGAAGAAGATTGGGAGGGGTTTGTCTGCCGATTCGAGGCTGCCTTCCACACTCTCGAGTGGACAGACGAAGAGGCACTACGAGCTTTTCCATCCGTTCTGGGCGAAGAGGCACTCTTCTCTTACACCTCCCTTCCCTCGCACAGCAAGACCACGCTACAGGCGGCCTACGAGGCTTTGGGGGAGATCTATTGCCCGGCGGAAGGAGCCTTTAAACGGTTCCAGGACCGCCAGCGAGGGGCTAGAGAATCCCCTTTAGCCTACAGGGGTGCGCTGCTCATGTTGGCGAGAGCTGCCATGGATCACCATGCGCTGGTGGGAGCCGAAACTATTGTACAGAGGAACCAGCATCTGTTCATTCAGGTGCTGAACACCTCTGATAGAACAGCGACGGTGGAGGAGGGAACAGTTCTGGCCCACGTTAGTCCCTTGTCACTAGGAGCCCCAGGGACAGAGCCCGAGCTTGTAGGCAGCATCAGCCAGTCCGAGGACAGAGGGGCCGAATCGTGGATGGACCAGCTGGTGGGGCCTGAGCCGGGATTGCCGCCCGACCAGAAACACCAGCTGCACTCGTTATTGCACGAGTTCTCGGACGTGTTCAGCCGGGGACCGTTCGACCTAGGGCGCACAAATCTGTGGCAGCACCACATCAATACGGGAGATGCCGCACCCCTGCGCCAAAACACATATAGAATGAGCCCAATGGAAAAAGGGCACATTCAACAAGCGGTGCAGGAGATGCTGCGGGCCAACATAATTTCTCCATCCTCGAGTCCCTGGGGGGCACCGGTGGTCCTAGTCAAGAAGTCAGACGGGTCACTGAGATTCTGTTTGGACTTCCGACGCCTCAATGCCGTCACGCTGGCCAACGCATATCCCCTACCACGTATCGACGACTCATTGGATGCACTGGTGGGAGCAACATTTTTCAGTACAGTGATACCTCGGTTCACGAACGCTTCGGTTCACGAACAACTCGGTTCACGACCAGAAAATTTCATAAAAATATGCTTCGGTTCACGAACTCCGCTTCGGTTCACGAACAGGAGCCGCGCCCATTTTTATGCTAATTCCAGGCTGTCACATGGTCGTGATTTATTGTAACGGGAGCGAGCAATGCAAAATCAGCCGAGGGAGTACCCGCCTCCTCCTCCTCCTCCTCGGGGGCTCGCGACACGTGGTGCGCCCGCCTCTTCTGCCCTTCACGTGCAGGCTACACGCGCGCGCGCACGCACGCACGCGCACGGACGCACGCGCATGGACGCACGCACGCGCACGCGCACGCACGCGCGCGCACCCCGGAATGAGCGGAGAGGCACACATGCGCCAGCTGTGACAGTCATCCCTCTTCACCTAAAAATAAAAAAACCCCGAGCGATGGATTTTTTTCCACGTATTTTCGTCAGCGTTGACCACAGCCCCCCGAAACGATCTCTCCTTGAAAAATCTATTATGCAAAAATGGAATGAGTGCCATGACTTTTTTGAAAACCACCACCCCAACATAGCTGTCACGAACAGAGTGTTAAATCTCATGAATGATAATGTGGTCTCTCAAAAAAAAGGTCAGAACGGATTAACCGGATTTACATTGAACCCTATGGGAAAATGTGCCTCGGTTCATGACCAATTCGGTTCAAGACCAGAGTCATTTCACGAATTAAGTTCGTGAACCGAGGTATCACTGTACACTGGATTTATTGTCCGGGTTCTGGCAGGTCCCACTAGATGCGGACTCCCGGCCTAAAACAGCGTTCCGGACACCACAGGGCCTGTTCGAGTTCAACTGCCTGCCTATGGGCCTCCAGACTGCGCCGGCGACGTTCCAACGCATAATGGAGTGGCCTTAGCAGGCCTCCAATGGGAAACGTGCTTCATCTACCTGGATGACGTCATTGTCTTCAGCCGATCATTCGAGGAACACCTTGACCGATTACGTCAGGTATTCCGGAATGCGAACTTGAAGCTCAAGCGTCGAAGTGCCACCTTATGCAGTCGTCGGTACGCTACTTGGGCCACGTCGTCAGTGAGTCTGGAGTGGCTACAGACCCGGAAAAGACGGCCTGCATGAGGGCCTGGGCTGTTCCCACAACGGTTCCAGAGGTACGCCGGTTTGTGGGTTTCGTTTCTTACTACCGCCGGTTTGTACCCAACTTCGCAACCATTGCCAAACCCTTGCACGTGTTGACGGCGAAGAACCAGAGGTTTTATTGGGGCCCTCTGGAGGAAGAGGCATTCCAGCATCTGCGCTCACGTCTGACAGATGCACCACCTTTTGGCCTCCCCTTTATCCTGGACACGGACGCCAGCGATGTGGGCATCGGCAGTGTTTTGTCACAAGTCCAGCAGGGTCGAGAGGTGGTTATCGCCTACGGTAGTCGCGTGCTTTCATCAGCGGAGCAGCGCTACTGCGTCACACGTAGGGAACTCCTGGCAGTCGTTCACTTCGTGCAGCAATTCCGACCCTACCTGTATGGTCACAAATTTACGGTCCGCACTGACCACGCGGCCTTGCAGTATTCGCTCCGCATCGACCAGCCTTCGGGCCAGCTGGCCAGATGGATAGAGCGCCTGCAGGAGTACAGGTACCAAGTGGTGCATCGCAAAGGGACCAGACACGCCAACGCAGACGCATTGTCCCGACTGGCGCCCCAGGGCCCTTGTGCATGCACCACAGGCGGGGCACGCTGCAAATAGGCGAGGCCGGAAGGGACGGTCACCGCTCCCGTACGCACGGCGGAGGGCGCACAGGGTGAGGTCCAGCTGACTGACCACGACCTGGGGCTGACCTTGGACGATTGGAGACGGCTACAGCTGGAGGAAGCCCCACTGCGAACGCTACGCGCCTCAGCAGAGGCAGGGGGGGAGGAGTACATCGTATGGGAGGACCTCCTCATGCGATGGGACCTGACAGGGCGCCGGCGATGCCTGGTAGTTCCGGAGTCGCTGCGTCAACAATTGGTTATGGACGTACACGGCCGCCAGCTGCTGCACCTGTACAGGGTCGGTACTTTTGGCCAGGTATGACCGGTGACGTGCATCGATGGGTCGCTACCTGCGTCGAATGTGCGCGGCGAAAACCACCACCCCGGGTAAGCCGGGCGCCCCTACAGCCCATCACGGTGACCAGGGTCAACGAATTGGTTGCGTTGGACATCCTGGGACCACTGCTGGTCACGCCACGGGGAAATAAATACCTGTTGGTCGGAGTTGAGTACTGCACGAGGTGGCCGATGGCGTGGGCCCTCCCGGACCAAACGGCACAGACCATCGCCGATGCCTTCGTGGGAGGCTATGTCCTTGATAAGGGGGCACCGGAGTGGTTGC